GGAGACAGTTAGATTAGAAGAAAAAAATAAAAAATCTCAGAAAACATTTGGCAAGGTAAAATCAATTGGGGCTAGTTTTAAAAGAGTCAAGTTGAGATCTTTAAAGGAAAAAGAAAAACAAGTAGAAAAGAAGGAAAAGGAGAAAGAGAAAAAGGAAAATGATGAATAATTTAATTAATTGAATTTGTAATTTTTTAATAAATTTTGTGAAATTTGAATTTTTTGTCGAATTATTTTTTTACAATAATTTTTTTGTTGAATTTTTTGCCACAGTATTAATTTTTTTGTCAAATTTTTTGCCACAGTACCAATTTTTTTGCCAAATTTTTTGCTACAGTATCAATTTTTTTACTGAATTTTTTGTCACAGTATTAATTTTTTTGTTGAATTTTTTACCATAGTATCAATTTTTTTGTTGAATTTTTTGCCATAGTATCAATTTTTTTGCCAAATTTTTTGTTACAGTACCAAATTTTTTGCCACAGTATCAATTTTTTTTGTCAAATTTTTTGTCACTATTTCAATTTTTTTGCCAAATTTTTTGCTGCAGTATCAATTTTTTTGTTGAATTTTTTACCACAGTATCAATTTTTTTGCTGAATTTTTTGTCACATATCAATTTTTTTGTTGAATTTTTGCCGCAGTATCAATATTTTTGTCAAATTTTTTTACTGCAAAATTTTTTTTTGCCACAATATTGCCTAATTTTGTGTTAAATTTTTTTTTTCACAGAATGCCGATATTTTTTTGCTAATTTTATGTCAATATTTTTAATTCCGAGTGACAGCAATTGTAAATAATTCATCAATCTTTTTATTATTAATTTTAGCAAAATTTGACAATAATTCGACAATTGAATGACATAATTTTGACTAGTGTTACTAGCAAAACATTTTTATATTGCATTATATTATTTTTATTTAATAAAATTTTATTTATATATAATTAAATATTTTAATATAAATTATTTATCTATATTATAAAAATAAAGAAATGAAGATGGAAGTAGTTTGGATCTAAATAGAAAAAGAAGAAAAGAAAAGCAAGTTCCTAACAAAATAAATAATTGACTCTCTTTCATAAGAGTTGAATAGATAACAATTAAAATAATGCTCCTTATAATTTCAAATAAAAGTATGGTTAAGATTTATATAAATAATCAGATCTATATATTCAAATAAAAATTTTTAGAAAAAGAAGATCCAAGGAGAATATATAAGAAATGATTAAAAAAAAAATTGGTCTCTCCAAGTATACAGTATATAATAGAACCAATAAAAAAAAAAACCATAAATCTAAAGTTTATAAAAATTAAAGTATACTTATATAATTTCTATAATGAAAAAGCAAATACCTTAGTAAAAGAAATTCTAAAATCTTACTGATTGAATAAAAAGATCTTATTTTACACAATATTATTATTAAAATTAAATAATAAGAAAAAATTCTAGATAATTCAATTAGACAGTTTATTAAGAATGTTAATAATAAAACAATAATCTATTAATAAATACAATAAAATAAAATGGAAAAAAAATAAAGTTTTCAAATTTTAGAATATCAAGTTTATGTATGAAACCTAGTATAAAAAAGAACCAAAAATAATCTTATGTGAAATACTTTCTTCAAACAATCTTAACAAAAAAGCTTTTTTATTAAACTAGTTAATAATAAGTTATTTATCTTAAGTAAATTGACTATAAGAAAACCAGATTTATATAAGTAAATAAAATATATTATATATAGTTAACAAGAAGAAACTATAGAATACTTGTTAGAAAGTTTAGTCTATAAGGACTAGTTATAAGAGAAATAGAATAAAGACATAAATATAATTATTAAAAACTTTAAAAAGCTCTTATAGAAAAGAAAAAAAGAAGCTAAAGAAAAAAGTACCAAGCTAATTTTCAATAACTGAGAAGAAATAGAGGAGTTTAACAAATAGATCTCTAGGATAGTGAAATAAACTTTTAAAATTAATTAAAATATCTTAAGTTTTTGCATTGATCTTATAAAAAATAATTATATTTTAAAAATGATAAATTTAAAATATCAAGATAAACAAATATGAAAAATAGTAAGAAAATAGATAATAAAGATATAAAAAAGAATTTGTAACCAAGTTTAAAAAAAAGTCTGGAACAAAAAATATAAGAAAGTAATTGAATAGAACCAAATATAAGGAATTGATAAAAAGAACAAGAAAAAAAACTTTTATATTCTTTAAGTCAGAAAACTATACCTCAAAAAAGAAAAGAACCATTATCTGAAAAAGAAAACCTAAAAGACAAAAGTTTCTAAGAAAAATTCTAACAAAAAAAGTAAAGTATAAAATAAAATGGTTGGGTTTTAAGCTTTATCAAAATATTATAGAATGATCTATAATAATAATCTATAGGTAATAAAGTTAACAGTTGAAAAAATCTTTATCTAAATTGCTAATGAAGTGATAAATTACTTCTGAAGTTGCACTTAGAGTTTTAATAAAATTTTAAAATAAAGACAAGTAAGTTAGGTAAAAACCTAACTTTAATAATACATTTTTCACTGTAAAGTATACATACAATATGTTTAATAAATCACACATATCTAACCTGATAGAGGGTTTTAAAAAAATTTTTTTTTTGATTTGCTAATTTTTTGTTAATATTTTTTATGTCAAGTAATAATAATCAAAAAAAATTCATTAATGTTTTTATTATTAAATTTAATCAAAGGATTAAATAAGTAATTTTTTGAATACTATAACCTCAAACACTATCCTGTGCTTGATACTAAATGACTAATCAGCTAAAAAGCATATATTATATGTTTCCCACGTTTCCAAGAAACCAAAGTCCTCTATAGCTATATTATACTATGATGATATGGTTGTGAATAAAAAAAAAAGTATCAATTATTGGAGTCTGTGATGGTACTGGGCTTGCATATATAGAATCCGTGATGGATTACTGTTAATTCATTATATGCATGTTTCTTTCGGGAAAAAAGAAAGAGTGAAATTATGTATATAGTATAGAATAGTTGATGCAATAGCTATATCAAATGCTTAATAAAGTCATATCTGATCCTTGTTTCGCGGTTTAAAAAATAAATAATATAATATAATATAAAAAATAAATTGGATAAATTTAATTGAAAAAACTAACCACCTTGATTTGCATATATAAAAATATTAATTCAATCATCAATCTAAAAAAAAAAAAAAAAAAAAAAAAAAATTTTATATTATAAGCTCATATTTTTAAAGATATACAATTATAGTTTTTTATTCAAAAGAAAAAAAAATTAAAAATACAAAAATACTGTAATGTTATAATTTTTAAATTAATTACAGTATATCGATAATGAAGTAACGCGTGAATGAAACGAGATTTTACAAATGATTGTACAAAATGTAGGTTTTTTGTATTAGCTGTAGACATCGCGGTTGTTCATAATATGGGAATGTCTTTTTAATCAGTCTTCACCAGGGAAGAATGTTATTCCCATCATTTAAATAAGCGTGACCGCCACAAAAAACTCCTTTTCTACAGTTTTGCACGAACAATGCTACACATGCAACCCAGAAGTTAGTTTTATCCAATCTCCGCATAAAAAGATTTCAATATATGAGCGATAAAGTTACCATAAATCTAAGAATAAACACCACGTGCATCAACGATTATATTTGAACGAACCGATTGGACAAAATGACTAGGATTTATATCCGAGGATACATAATACCCAATCATATATATTCATTCAAAATTTCCGCTATTTATCTTGTGCACTTTACCACTACCGATTAGATTGGTAAAATGCTTGATGCTTGCCTTGCGATCACTCGGGAACCATATTGTAAAGTGCTGGTTCCTCCGGGCACGTACGAAACGACATACCTATTTGGTGGTTCAAAAAGTTAGGTGATTTATGAAGTAAACCTGGACAACTAGTAAATTTTATTCATATCTACCATATGAGAGCAATTACTTGAATGATGCCAAATATAAGGGTGAGGATGGTGCTTCGTAACTTTAAACAGCAAAAAGGACAAAAATGTGTAATTAATTATTTTCTTCAACATTTTTAACAGAGCAAAAATTTTACCCACCCCTATTGAAGAATACAATGTTAAAGCCATGGAGGTGAAGTAAGCGATTGTAAAAGGTAGCCGTTCACGAGATAGCACATGTCGAAGGTGAGCCAGCGGACCATGCAATATAGCAAAACTGTGATTACAAAATAATTAGAGAAATGGTAATACCATAAAACATCTAATAAGTTAAGGTTAAGATAGCAATTTGGAATTACAAACCTTAATAAAATTAGAATGCTGCCCATGGTAAAGGTCACGGCAAACTTCCCAGGTCTTAATGCCAACATTGGTAGGGTCAGGAAAGCCTTATAAAGAGTTTCAGTTCAGTATTTTGTGAAGTAACTATAAGAATGAGTACAAATATGATCGACTTACGATTAAAAAGCAGAGCACACCGGCGGCAAGGAACACACCGAATCCTGCGAGTCTCTATTAAAGGATTAATTGTCAGAGGATATGAATCTAAAATAAGATCCATTAAATATTTTACGTTTTGACTAACCTGCCATCTGCTCAAGGCAAACCATTCTTCTTCTTGATCATTATTGCCGTTTATTAAAGGTATATATCCCTGTACTCGATTACTAACATTTCCAAAGAAGTTTGAAGTGTTTTCAGTGATTCGGGAGAACGGTGTTTTGTTAGATGAATTGAGAGGGTTAGTATTAGAGTTGGAAGCCCAACGGAAAGAACGTAAAGACTCGCGAAACTGTTGTTCGCTGGACGACATTTATGTATATTATTTGAATATGCTATATACTTCAGAACGGTTTTTATACTTAACGTTAAATTAGTTTAGTTGCATTGTTATCTGATATAGTGATTATTGTACCACGGTGATTGACAAGTTACAAAGCGCCAGGTAACAAAAAAAGCTCACGTATCTGCTTTACCGTTTGACCGAAAATTATTGTCCATGAGGATGGCTTTATTTAGGGGCCTTGCCCTTGTGGGTATTACGATTATTGCTGTTTTCCTCTTCTTCGAAATTGCCATAGCAAATACAGATATAAATCAAAACCAAGGAGAAAGCGTTATTCCGTTACGCACTCATTCCATCTATGTGCCCTATATTGGTGAGTTTAACAACTTCTGATGTTTCGAGGTGTGAATATTGCCAACCATTACTTCTGTATAATCCATGTAGACCAAGATCTTCAGAACCGTTGGTTCGACTTCGGTGCCGACACAGTCGTCAACACCAATAGGCATATACGACTTACTCAGGACAGACAATCTCAAACAGGCTGGTTATGGAGTCGTCTGGTATAAAGCTTTTACACGTTTTATTTCGTGTCATTCGTTGTAAGTTGATCATGATGATAGAAGCCTAATATTATTGTCACTTCACGAAATTCATTGGCGCCCTTTAAAATATACAAAACGTAATTAATAGCCATTGACATCCACTAATTGGCAAGTAGAATTCGAATTCAAGATCGACGGTGAAAATCCTAATCTTTATGGTGATGGAATGGCTGTATGGTTTACCACGGATCGCGCAAAACCTGGTCCTGTCTTTGGATTCATCGATAAATTTGAGGGTTTGGGCATATTCTTCGACACATATGCAAACTCGAGGCAACCAGTGTGTATTATGATAACGCGTGATTCTTATAAATTGTCATTCATCACCTTTCTTTTACTGTGCTGATTTTCTCGCATTAAATTAGCATTCTTTTCCTTATGTAATGGCTATGATGGGCGACGGCAACACTGAATATGATCATGACAACGACGGTAAAGCCAATCATCTTGCTGGATGCGAAGTAAGAAAAAAGTTACATTACTGTCTCCATCCACGTTCCGATGTTTATTCTCGTTTCTTTTTTTTTTCTTTTGGTAGGCTGATATAAGGGGTAGACCTATCGCCACAAAAGCACGTATTACTTATTACAAGAACACTTATCTCGAGGTGAATTTGATTACCGGTGTTTTCCTGTTTCCAAAATTATTCTCAATATGCTCACAAAAGATCGGCTTTCTGTGTGTAATAGGTTAAATTGCAATATAGAGCATGGGATCAATGGGAACCATGTTTTACTATTCCTAATGTTACTCTCCCTGCGGTTGCCTATCTAGGCTTCAGTGCATTAACCGGCGACGTTAGCGGTACGTATATTTATTGCAATCGTCATTCCTTTTACGTGACGGCTCTTTTATGCTTAACCTAATGCTCCAAATAATTAGATGCACATGATATTATCAGCGTCACAACCAACAACATTGTTTCTGTACCTCCACGAGTTCACAAGGTATCAATTATTATTTCTTGATTAATATTTATTTTGATTACTGAAATAACTATTTCCTTCCCTTAATTAGCAACCAATCACAAGACAACACGATTTAACGACCTCGGGTTGGTCAGGATTCTTATTTGCTCTCAAGATCATTGCCACGTCAGTATTTATTGGTGTTTTAATTTTGATATATCGAATGTACAAAAATCAGACGAACAAAAGGTTTTAGAATTTAATTATTGCTAGAATGTAATTTTCCCTTCGAAACTGCTGATAAAATTATGGGAAATCAAAAATTGTATTCCTTTTTTTTGTGAAGATGAAAATTAGAATGCTGAAATTTCTTTTAATATCAAATTTATTTAATAAAAATTAAGATCTTAGGATCTTTAATTATAAAACAGGTCTTTATAATTACAATCGAATTGTTATTTTTTTTAAATCAAGTCGTATTATCATGTGATATCATTCTTACCGATCATTCTGGTTTGATATTATTATATGTATATATACCCGTGATTCCCGGAGTGGCGTGCATCTAAGCAGCCAATGAAGAAGGTGCATGGAAACTTGAAAATTTGTATATATTAAATTTTATAAATTCGGAAATTAATGAAGTTCGTTATTATATTAAAATTTATTTTAATATGATAATGTTTTATTATTACCTATTTTAAAAGAATTACAAAATCTTTAACTTATTATTAACATAAAAATTCATATTTTTAAATGTTCAAATATTATTAATATTAATAATAAATTTTTTTTTAACCCGCAATTATGTCATCAGGGTATGCCTTTATTGAGATATTAAAAGAAAATATCTACAACATATATGGACTTTTACTTGATGACTAACTCATCTTTGCACATTATTAGTTAAAGAATTATATTACTTAAAAAATATAAGGAGTCCATTAAGCTAGTTCGAACTAAACAAAACAAAGTCTAAACTAGATACTCTAAATCAGATTTTGAAAACAGTATTATGCTTCCCTGATAGATTGGTTATACCCTTTATCTATCAGGATCATCATTTATAGTTTATCATTATAGATTATCCTAAAAAACAATAAATTGTTAAAACCAAATTGAAAAAAAGGAAAAAAGAAAAGAAAACAATTCACAACTTTCCAAAAGATTCTTATTCAAGTAAACAATCTTCTCTCAAAAGATTTGTGCTATCCAAAATTCAGGGTTAAACTAAGACAAGCAAAATTTTCAAGAAAATTATAAAAGTAAAAATTTTAAGAGGATACAAATAATCAAAAAGAGAAAAAATAAATCTTTTTATTGCAAAAAACCTTTATAAACCTCTTGTTTCAAATATTAGAAAGGTCTTCAGGTATTTCACAATTAATTTTTTTTCTTTTAAAAACTTTCTTACTATTAGTATCAAAGGTACTACTTAATTTTTCTTGATCATTAAAAGTCAAGTTTTTGAATAAAAAGATTTGTAAATAAGAGAAAAAGAGTAGAAATGATTTTTGAAGTTATACTTCAAATTGTTTTAATGAAAGTATTAAGACTTTGTTAGTAAAAAGTATAAAAACTTCTTACAAACATCTTTTTTGTATGTGATCAGAAAATTATTAAAAAGAGTTTTTTTTTTTTTAAAAATTCATAATCATGTTGCAATAGTGTATTTTTATTGAGATATTAAAAAATACCACTAAGTCTACAAACTTTCACAAAATAAATAACTCGTCATTGTACGTTATTAGTTAAAGAATTATACTATTTAAAAAATATGAAGAGTCCACTAAGCTAGTTTAGACTAAACAAAACTAAGTCTAAACTAGGTATTTTAAGTTAGATTTTAAGGACAATATCTTGTTCTCCTAGTAGCTTGGCATTAACCTCTAAGTCAACCAGTATCATTGTTCATAGTTTGTCACTGTTGATTATCCTGAAAAATGATAAATTGCTGAAGTTGGTACTGAGAAAAAAAAAAAAAAAGGAAAAAAAAAAAACCAATTCAAAGCCCTTAAAAAGATTCTTGCTTCATTTCACAGTTTCCTCTTGAAAAGGATTTGTCTAATTGGAATATTCTCTAAGCTTTATGATATTTGAGAAACTTAACCATTCTCAAAAGTGACTTCAAGAAAAACGTTTGAGAAACTTATCCTTCTACCAATATATAGATTTGCTTAATGTTACTAGAGTCAGTACAATATTATGGAAGAGTTTGCCTGATCAGGATAAAAAAATCTTTTCAAGAACTTTGCCTGATTGGGATAGAAGTTTGGAGACCTCAGCTTTTGTTCAAGAAAGTCTTTTTATTATCTGAGAAACTTAGTGAGAAATAAGAGTTAGAATTTTTTTTCCTATTCATCATTCACCTTTCGATATTATAATTGTTTCCTAGAGATTAAATATATATGATTGGATGGAACACTTTTTCTAGAACTTTCTTTTTTACATCATCAATAATATATTGAAATACATGAGTGTGATCAATAGAAGCTTGTTTATATTTCAAAAACTAATATATTTCATATCAGCCAATTACTTTTGATAAGGATTTGTGCTACCCAAAATTTAGGGTCAAATTGAGATAAATAAAATTCTTCAGAAAACTGTGAAACTAGGAGCTTTAAAAGGGTCAAGACAGTCAAAAAAGGAGAAAATAAGTTTTTTTACTGTAAAAAATCTCTATAAGCCTCTTGCTTCAAAGATTAGAAAGCTCTTCAGATACTTTACAGTTAGTTTTTCTTTCTTTAGAAACTTTTTTGCCATTGGTATCAAGGGTGTTACTTGACTTTTCTTGGTTACTAGAAATCAAGTTTTTGAGTAAAGAGGTTTATAAACAATAGGGGAAAAGTAAAAGTGACTCTTGAAGTCATATTTCAAGTTATTTTAAGGAAAGTGTTAAGATTTTATTAACAAGAAAGTGTAAAAACTTCTTGCAAATATCTTTTTTGTATATGGCCAGAGGATCAATAGAAAGAATTTATTGAATTATATACAAAAGAGATATCATAATATATATATATCTATATCTATATAACCCTTTATCAGACTAGTTATATGTGCTTTATTAAACAATTGTAAGCTATATATTATACTGTATATATATTGCTAAAGTTAAATCTCTAATTCACTTATCAAAGTCTTATATTTATTTAAAACTCTAAGTGCAACTTTGGAAGTGATTTATCACTCTGTTAGTAGTTCAGATAGAAACCTTTCCAACTTCTATTATTGCTTGCAGGTCACTACTGCGGATCACTGCATGAGATTCTGACAAAGATCAAAACCCAATCACTTTATCCCATATTTAATTCCATTTCTTATAATTTCTACAAGGTTTTTGTTTTTACTTTCTTTTTCTTCTTCTCTTTGCCTTATACTTTTTCAACCAGGATTATCTTGCGGGTCTTATCTTCTTACTTTCTGGATCTTCTTGTATTTTGCTCTTCTATCAATTCCTTGTTTTTGTTCCTATTCAATGATCTTTTCACATATGACATTTCAGACTTGTTTCTGAATCTGATTGCAAACCTTCTTTTGCACTTTTAGAATCTATTTTTTTGCCATTGTTCCTAACTTTTTTCCATAACAATTTAGGTTAGCAGCTTCTTTGATTACATTACCTTCTATTAATTCTGTACAAAAGTTAAAAGTGCTCGAACCAGTTTATGAGGCTGATTCTATTAGTCTGGAGATCTATTTATTTAATTTACCTTTTTTTTTTTCTATTGTCAACTGTTAATTATACCATTTTTTTATCTACTTCCCTTTTACATTTTTGATACAACTTGTTTAATTCTTTAAGAAAAGTCTCAAATCCTTTTTGTTATGTTGCTAGGATCTCAATCTCATAATCAAAACATTCTAATAAATTTTCTATTGTTTTTTTATGCTGTTGTATGCTATATATCTTGCTTGCTTATATAGATCTGGTCTTCTTATTACTAGCTTGCTTAAGGTAGATAGTTCATCATTGATTAATTTAATCAGAAAGCTTCTTCTCTGTGAGTTTTTAAAGAAGGTATTCTATGTATTTCTATTTTTTAACCTATCCCATGTCAGATCCCATAAATATATTTGATGCTTGTGAACTTGATGATACTATTTTGTCTCTATTCTATATTGCTGTATCTATAATAGAGCCATTGATCTTTTATTGATTTGTTTGATAAACTGTCATATTGAACTATCTATCACTTCTTCTTGCTACATAGTTTCTGTGGATATCTTGCTTGATTTGAGACTCTTCCATTCTATTGCTGATAACTTTAAAGCCTTTTTGGTCAGTCAATTTGTTTCTTTATTTCATGTATTATTAGAGTGGACTTTAACCTTGGTTAACGTTAGTTGGATATGCTTTTTCTTTATAAGATCTAGCATTCTCATCTATAATGACCAATTCTTTTTTTTTAGCCATCTTTTATATATCATCTTTGAATCTTCTTTCTCTAGCTTTTTTTTATTTAGAGATGTAGACTTGACTATCTGTAAAGATCTCAATTGTACTGTCTATTGAAACTACTAAAGCTATTATAACCAGTGCCATCAGTTCTGTCCTTATGAATGAGGGCCAGTTTTTGACACCTGTCTAAAATTTACTTTCTTTTTTAGCTTCTTCTATTTGTATCCATACTGCATCCATTTTTGCATTTTCATTTTCATGGTCGATTAAGGATCCATTGGAGTAGAAAATTAGCTTCTCCTGTGATCCTTGATTGTGCTGAAGAATTTCAAGTAGATAATCTTGATATGCTCCTTGCTTGACATTGTTTTTGAATATTTCTTGTTCCCAATCTTCTATTAATACTTGTTCTATTTTTTCAATTTGGTCATTTGTTAAATCTTGGGTTTCTAAAACTATACTCTTGATTATTATACTATTTAGTTTCAATAGGG